ATAATTCAAGGGAAGTTCAGATCTTTACAAAAACAAGAATGAGTTGTTCTTGTTGCACTGTTTTACACAGTGAGCATTTGCCTATTGCTCACATTGCAGACTACCTCATTAAAAAAGCGAGAAGGAGGCAAAAGGAATACATTGAATGGAGGGAACCGAAGGCAACATCAAAGCAGTAGGTGTCAAGAGGTTTTTGAAAGAGGAGACTGGTATAGTGAGTGAGTTCTGGAATGTGGGGAATGGCCACTGAAAACTTAACCATTAACGAAGAAGTGGAGGAGGAAATGCCTAAGAAGTCTAATTCAGAAGGACAAAGTGTGTTGAATTGGAGTATTCGATAGGAGGAGATTAAAAATACCAATATAATGTTGATGAACAAAATTCATTTCTATCCTCAAGTGCATGGCTTAAAATGCATTGGAGGGTGAATATTCAATTAAGTAGACAACGATGGCCATGCCAGTCAGGAGTGGAAGTCTTTACAGGAAATGTGGTTGCCTCTTTGGAATCAAAACATACTTGACCAATACCGTGCAGCTGAAGTGTGGAAGAGAAGATGGATTTATTTACTCAATCAAAATATTGTTACAATTGTGAAGTTTATAAACTTATCAAGTTTAAAATGAGGGTGAATGAAGGGAGTCATAAGTCCTGTTCTGAAGTTTTGCAGACATTAAGTCTGCAAGGTTTGACTGTTAGAGATCAAAGGAAAGCTGAGATTGTTTTATTAAGAATGAACAAGGTATTTCCATCTGGAAACAAAGGCAGCAGTCACTGAGTTTGCAACAAGCAGACTGAATCTCACAAACTGTAACTATCAGATTGTAAACAGTTGTGATATAAACTATCCAGTTACTCTCAAGGTGAAAAAGCATTGCATAATGTGTTTCACATTGCCTTGTGGAAGTGGGTAGAAGAAGCCATTTTGAGAACAGGCTACAGGCTTCCCTAAACTAAATTCAGCAAACAACAGAGACTGCTGAGATTCCATGTAGTAAGCAGAGAGAAAATGCTGTGAAAACTGAGGAATGCACCTGGTAACAGTCTCTTGGAGTTACTACTTGGCAAAAGGTGATGTAGGAACCCAATCAAAGCTGGGAACAATGATTGACCTTCTGCTAAAAGGACTGTAATTCCATGGAGATTGTGTTGAGTAATAAGTATAAAAAAGGAATGTTCATCATTGTAATTTAAAATATAAGTTGTCTACAAAAAGGAAACAGTGTTATTCGTCGTTGGTTACAGTAAAAATTTTAAAATGAACAATCCATACATGACAGGAGAGAGATTTAAGAAAGGCATGAGGAGCAATTTTTTTTACACAGAGGGTGATTCTCATGTGGAATGAGCTTCCTGAGGAAGTTGTGGATGTGGGCACAGTTACACTGTTTAAAAGACACTTAGATAAGTACATGAATAGGAAAGGACTTGGGGGGATATGGGCAAGGAGTAGGCAGGTGGGACTAGTTTAGTTTGGAATCATGTCCGGCATGGGCTGGTTGGACTGAAGGGTCTGTTTCCGTGCTGTATGACTCTATGACCTGGCTGATAGATGAGGATAAATGTCAGGCATATTGAGTCTCTGAAAGCCTGACTCAGTGAGAGGCAGTGCTAATGTCAAGGGCTATACACTTGTAAATAAAGCACGAGTGGGACTGGATGCTTGCCTCTGAAGAGCTATTTCAATTACTTTTTCGGTTCTGCTGAAGTTAGCCCCTGGCAGCTTGTATTCCCTCAGTACAGCATCTTTTCTTTTTATTTATTTTCTATTTATTTTGTTGTTACTTATGTGGTCAACAACTGGATCTTTCCCCTCCCATTCCATGTTCCTCTGCTGCCCAGATGAGATATCCTGAACTCAAGCACCAGGCAGGCACATAGCCTTTCGGACTCTTGCTAGTGGCCACAAAAGACAATGTCCATTCCCTTGGCTATACTATCCCTGATTACAATTACATTTCTTTTTTCCCTAAATGACTCTGTACCATGGTGCTGTTTTCGGTTTGCTCATCTACCCTACAGACCCCGCTTTCTTCCAAAGTTCCTGCAGCACTATCTTCAGGATCCCTCTACCTGCCAATCTCATAGTCACATCCTTCTGTCCCTGATGACGGTCTGAATTTGAGGTAGTTAATCTAAGAAGAGACTGCCTTCTGAAATACAACATCCAAGTAGATTGCCCCTTTTTTTTAAATTTTGAAAATGTATTTTATTCATAAAAAAAAATCTTTGTATATATACATTGACACAAAAGCAGTTTGGTTCTGCACAGTTGCATATCAAGTAAACACACAAAACACGAGTGTAACTATCCAAAAAACCAAAGACCTCTCTTACACCGACAATACCTGGCATCACAGCATTCAAATCTTGGACTCCAGCTCATCAACTCTGAGATGGAGTTCCTTAAGCTGAGTTTCTCAAGCTCAAGGAACTTACTACAGATGTGGTCACTATGAACCACAATGGAGTCCACCAGTTTCCATCGCCTGACCTTGGATCTCTATTTTATTTGATTAGTCTTTCATTTCTTTTAAAAAAAATTACCTACTGATCTTTTCATTTTTAATCTGTAAATTATTTGTGCTATATACCTTTAATCAGAAAGTAACTTAGAATAGATAGTCAATTTAGTAGCTATTACGAACCAATGGATTTATGGTTTTACTGTGATGTCACTCTTTGTTTTCTGCTGGGCCCCCAAACCTGCGCCTCAATTCATCCTGTTAAAGAGACCTTAGAAACTATGAACCAAAAAACTAAGCAAAAAGGACCTGTTGCCCTTTGCATTAAATTCCCACGCTGCTTTAAAATACCAGAAATATATACTCATTTGAACTGTGCCTCAGTCCAGAAATGATCTCTTCTTCCTTCTTGTGCCAAGCTCACTGCTCCTGCTTAAGGAGGCAGTAACAGGTCATTGAGAAAACCACAATATAATCAGGCAGCAACAACACAGTATTGTGAAAGGGTAATCATGTTTGACAATTTATTAATATTATTTGAGGATACAATAAGCAGGGAGATAAAGTAGAACCAGTAGATGTAGGGCATTTTCATTTTCAAAAGACTTTCAATAAGGTGCCACAGAAAAAAAAAATCACTGCACAGGATAAGAGTTCATGATATTGGACTGATGTATTAGCTTGGATAGAGGACTGGATAACTAACAGGAAACAGTGAGTTGGAAAAAATAGAACAGTATCAGATTGGCAAACTAGTGTATTGCTGCATGTACCTGTACTAGTGTTTAATATTTATGATCAATATTAATGATTTGTAGCCAAATTTGCTGATGTTACAAAGATGGGTAGTAAAGCAAACTGTGAAGACGATACAAAGAGTCTACAAAGGAACACAGAATGGTTAAGTGTGCAGGCAAAATTTGGCAGATGGAATGTGTGAAAATATGAGGTTGTCCAATTTGTCACGAAGAATTCAAAATGCTGCAGTACAGAGGGCGTTGGGTGTCTTTGCACATGAAACACTGGAGGCTAGCAGGCAGGCAAGGGAAGTAACAAGGAAGGCAAATGAAATCCTGGCCTTTGTTTGCAAGGGAAACTGAGGACAAAAGTCAGGAAGTCTTGGTACAATTGCACACATTATTGATTAGATCACACGTGGAGTACTGTGTACAGTTTTGGTTTCCTATTTAAAGGATAAACTTGGTATGAAGGCAGTTCAGAGAAGTTTCGTTTCATGAAATCCTGAGACGAAAAAGTTTATTTTCTTTAATCTTTCATGCAATGTGAGCATTGTCAACAAGGCCAGTATTTGTTCCCACATCTAGCTGCCTTTGAACTGTGTGATTTGCTAGGTCCATTTCAGAGGTCAGTTAACAGTCAACTACATTGCTGTGGGTCAGGCAACACATGTAGACCCAGATCAGGTAAGGACAGCAGATTTCCTTACCAAAAAGGACATTAGTGATTACAACAATAAATGATAGTTGTCACGGTCACCATTACTGAGACTAACTTTCAATTCCACCAGATCCCACGTGCCGAGAGCAGCCTGGGCCTCCACTTGTCCAGTAACATTACCACTATACCATCATCTCTAAGTACGAAGGTTGGCCTAAACTTACTGGAGATTAGATGAATGAAATGTGCTATTTTTAAGAAAAAGAGGCTTGACAGGAGGGATGCTAAAAGGATTCTAGAACTAGGGATGCAGTTTCAGAATAAGTCTTCTATTCAAGAGGTCTTTCTTCTCTGACGGTTGTTTCAACCTTTCTCCCCCAACAGAGCAGCGGTGGCTGGGTCACTGAAAATATTCAAGGCTAAGGTACACAGACTTTTGACCATAACGCAGTAAAGCATCTTGGGCCACAGACAGGAAAGTTAAGGTCATTAATAAATCAACCAATGATCAAACTGAATGGCAGAACATGCTCAAGGTGCCAAATGGCCTCTTAATCTGGTCTCCAGGATAGGAGTGAGTTTTGGGCAAAAGAGTAATTCTGGTTTTTCTTTTTCCAATAACCAGGTCCTCAGTGAGTTCAGGTACGAAGAATTAGAGTTCGGAATAGAACAGGCTGTGACTCAGCTGGAATAGCCCTGGTGTGAGCAGAATGCACACATTCTCCAGAGATGAGATGTGCTCTTTACCCTGTTGTGTATAATGCACGACTGCTGCCAGTTGATGGGTCTAGAAATTTGATTAACATTATCACATAAGCTCAGTAGAAAATTGCAAGGCTCCTGCAGAGATTGCAGCTCGACAGAATCACCAGGCGAGCAGAGGCTGAGGCCTGACACAGGCTTAATGGCTGCCAGTTACTGATTACGTCACCAGCTGCATGTCACTGGTCTACTACCTTCATGGGTCTGATGATGGTGCTTGGATGGGGTGGGGGGGGGGGGGGGCTTAATAACTCAATGCACATAAATTTAATAGGTACTTCTCTTGGAATTCCATCTTATTGGAGATTAACCAGAAATATATCTATCTGAGAAAGAAAGGATATTTCACTGTGAACACAGCTACTGTTGGTGATCCTTAAATTAAGTGATCATGGGCTCAAAATTAAGATGCCACAACAATTTTTCCACCAGCCATCACGGTATTCAAATCCAAATAGTCACCACCTCACTTTGATTTTCTCATGGATTCCATACTTTCTGAAATAAAACAACACAAAAACAGTCAGAATAACAGAAATTATTAGCGTTAGACAGGCTAGAATCTAAATCATGCACAATAGGTTACAGATAAAGTTTCCTCAAAACTGTCCCCATCAAACATTACCGGGACAAGTCCAATGTAAGATTAGATAAACTCCCTTGAACCTTTTAAACCGAAAATAAAATTCTTTCTATAGTGTCACCATTAAACACTCTCAAGGACAGGTACAGCATGGGGATAGGTAAGGAGTGAAGCTCTCTCTACATCCCCATCAAATGCAGCTAGGACAAATCAGCACAGAGTTAGATACAGAGTAAAAGGTGCCTGTAGTTTTCTGAACAAAGTAAACAAAAAGCTTCCTCAACACTGTCCCCATCAAACAACCCCATGATAGGGACAGCATGGGATTAAAATAGCGTAAATCTCTCTCTACTCTTTCAAACTGGAAGTTCTTGTCTACGTTGTCCCCCAAACACTCACAGGACACTCAAAAGGAGCAGGAGACATAAAGAATACAGAATCTCTCTCTATTCTTTTAAACTGAAAGTAAAGTTCCCTCAACACTGACCCCATCAATCACTTCCTGGACAGTGACTGCATGGGATTACACACAGAGTAAAGCTCCCTTGAAACTGTCTCCATCAAACACTACCAGGACAGGTATTTCACAGAACTAGATTATAGAGTACAGCTCCAGCTAATCTTTTAAACAGAAAGCAAAGCCATCATGACACTGCCCCCACCAAATACTCCCAGGACAGGGACTGCATCGGGCCAGACACAAAGCAAAGCTCCCTCCCGTCTTTCCAAACCAAATGTAAAGCTACTTCTACCCTTTTAAAATGAAACTAATGCTCTCTCAACACTGTCCCCGTCAAACATTTCCACAACAGGATCAGCACTGGATTAGATAAAGAGTGAAGCTTCTTCTATGCTTTTACTATTTCCTTGACACTGTTCCCATCAAACACTTCCAGGACAGGTACAGCATGGCAATAGAAACAGAGTAAAGCTCTCCCTACTCTTTTAAACTGAAAATAAAGCTCCCTTAATTCTTGTAAACAGGAAGTTCCTTCCACACCAAATAGTCCCAGGACAGGGGCAGCGCAGGGTGAGACTACATAATACTAAATATTACTGTACACTCACAGGAATGTAAGCAATGTGACTGACTCTTCTTGTTTCTGAAACACCACAGCACTTAGTTGGATTAAATTACAATTAAGTCAGATGGACTACCTGACATTGAGCTTAGCAATGGCAAACAGCATTGTCAAGCGTGTAAAATCTTCTTTACTGACATCTGGGGGCTGACATTCCACATAAGCTGCTTGCATGTGTCTGTGCACCAGGAATTCGGAATTTGTGCATACCCTGTAACAGTCTGGCAGTGGACAGTTGCACACATACAAGCAATGAAGGAATCCTCCAGACCTCCATGCAACACCTTCCTGACAGCTATGTAAAGGTGGCCAATGGAGGATTCTCGGATTCAAGGTACCATAACAAACCCAAACCTTCTGAATTTCTACTCAGACACCCACCCACTCCCAGCTTCAGACTAATTGTAAAAACTTTTGATCGTCAAAGCAGGCACTGGGAAGGGGAAGAAGCCAGGTCGCATCATTTCCAGTCAGGGACCTGTGTCAAAAACTGTAGAACAGGGTGAGAAACTCCTGGGGTGTTCAGCCTTCTCAGCAGTGATTAGGAAGTTTAGGTACAGGATCTGTGAAGCAGCAGCCATTCCCTTAAGAAAGTAATATGTGATGCAAATTTAGCTTTCATATTTTAAAGTTTTTTTTCTTGACATGTCTAAAATATGTCCAAAACTAAAGGAAATGAGTCATCAAACACCAAAACCACCAGGGTATTGTGAGATGAAGGTGATGTGCAGAGAGCACAAAAAGACCAATCCCAATATGGTGAAACTTCTCATTGATCATGTCATACTTGCAGCAAAGACGAAGGTGTCTATGCTTTAGGTGCAAGACATTCATGATCCTGTGGTGAAGTAATCAACAACTACTGAGGGCTGGCGCAGCAAGCATTACACCTTGTAGAATGCATTGGGTTGGTCATACAGAGACAGTTGTTGGACGAATTCTGCAAATCAATACTTACACCTTGAGAGTGGACAAAAGTATGGACATTTCAGTACAAAAAATTACTTTGTACATCAACATTTTGTTTTTCAACCAGAATCTCAACTTGTTTACAAGACTGTCCTTGCAGAAACCTTGAACTGCTTGCAACAGTTCCTCCTTTGTGGCAGCAATCAAGCAATTTTATGTTAACAGTCACCCTGATTTATAGAAGATGGTGATGTTTATATCAAATGAAGTTTGTTATATTGGGAAAGGAAAAGTGAGTCGTGCGACAAAATTATGTTGATCACAGAAAAATCTGGGAATATTTACAGCTGGGGTATTATTTATGTAAGATACTGAAATACTTCCAAGAATAATTTATGCAACTTTCAGCAGGTCATCGCTGAAGATTGGAGAATTTTGCAAATGTCACAGCGTATGATTTGGTGGCATTTCAACCTCAGAATGAAGTGTGTTGACTATCAAGATGTTTTAGAGCATTAAACAAATATTGCATGAAAATATTGTGGCTTTGTGAATGTTATGTTGCATTGATATCTCTGAATGATGCTCAGTGAACTGGCAAATTCTTACAGAGAAACTGTTCATCAATGATTTAAGCTATGCAATTTGCAATGGCCAAGATGAGTAAACGGAAGACTCAGTATCTAGGTGAACAGATTTGAGGGATAAAGTTAAGGTGGTTATGGATGCTCTTGATTGTGACATAGACACTGCTGCAGTCCTCCAATTTATTCAACTCTGATGTGACCACCTGGAAACCAGATTTCCAGACCAGGATTTACAAGAAAAGCACGCAATTGATCAAGTTGCAATCACCAAGACAACTGATCGTGAATTTGAAAAAGACAGTATTGTGCAATCAATATCAAAACATTCCACTTTTGTACCAAGCTATGACAAAAGTCAAGACAGGTTTTATTCAAACATTAAGTGACTTGGTGAAATATGCTCTAAAAGATAAGCAGTTTCAAAAAAAAAAAAGTCCATTCTCCTGGATATTTGTGCAACATTTCAGGCATCAAGTGCTGACCGAATGTGGATTTAGCCTCATGAACTTGATTCAGTAAATCCAGAAACAGGTCAACTGGACAACTTTATGCAAATTAAATCATAAATTTCACCTGGACAAAATATCAAGCTGAACACAGCATGTCATCGTTGGGCAGCAATTAAAGGTAAGTGCAAAAAGCTGCCAACAAAGGAATGAATAAATTACTAGTGCCCTCTTTTGGTCACATAGTATATTTGGTGTTCAACCATGAAACAGGACCAAGACTTTTGAGCCCAGCAAAAGTTCATTTATTTTAGCAGGAAGAATATCTGTCACAGTAAAATAATACACGTGCACCTAATAGTAAACTGTGGAAGAAAAATTGCAATACACCTCTCAATGGATGCAATGTGCTGCTCAGACTATCCGGAATTCAACACAGGAAATACTGCTGGGGGTGAGTATCAAAATTCTGAGGGCTGCCCCATAGACAAGCAACAGCCTGTCATAGTCATTTACATGGAATCATACCAAACATCAACATCAACATCATTGGAGACATCCTGAGGTGGCAGCACACAGGCAAGGAGCAGTTACCCTGGGAATTTTGAGGAAGTATCACTTGAGAGAAATCAGTTAACGTTTCACGTCAACAGGTGTTGCCAGACTTGCTGAGCTTTTCCAGCAATTTGTTTTTGTTACCCTGGGACTTCTCAACTTTTGACTACAGGAGCCACAAAATCTCCTGCACCAAGTCAACATGGAAAAATAAACTTGGTAGTTCCACTATCAGATGATTGTGTCCTAGAAGACTGCAGGAGGCGGGTGGTGAGAACCAAAAAAGGGAAAACATTGGTCACCTTGTCTTCACTAAACTACCTGCCACAGATGAGTATATCCATGACAGGATTAATTGGATTGATCACCACAAAGTCATTGCTGGGCAAAGTCCTGCCTAGCAACTCAACTGGGCATCCGAGAGACATCATGGACCATCAACAACAGCACTGTGTTCAACCACATACTGTAACCTCAATCTAGCATATCCACACTCTACCATTTCCATCAAACCAGGAGATCAACCTGGTTCAACGAGCACAGGAGGGTACGCTGGGAGTAGTGTCCGGTATACCTAAATATGAGGTGTCAACTTCTGAAGCTATGACAAACGATTATTTGCAAGGTGAACAGTGGAAGCAGCATGCAACAGACAGGGCTATGCGACCTTACAACCATGTCTAAGCTCTGATCTGGTGGACAATTAAACAACTCACTGGAGGTGGAGACTCCACAAATATTCCCATCCCTTATGAACAGGAGGCTAGAACAGGAACGCCGAAGTCAAGGCTGAAATATTTGTCTCCAACCTCAGTCAGAAGTGCTGAATTGATGACCCATCTCGCCCTCCTTCAGAAATCCCCAGCAACAAAGATGTCAGTTTTCAACCAATTCAATTCACTCCATGCAATATCGAGAAATGGCAGAGGGCTCTGACAATATTCTGACAAACATGTGGAAGACTTCTGCTTCTAAACTAGCCAAGCTGTTCAACTACAGCTATAACCCTGACAAAATGTCCTGGGCACAAAAAGCAAGAAAAATCCAATGTGGCCAATTACTGCCTTATCAGTCTACTCTTGACCATCAAAGTGACAGAAGGGGTGGTCAACAGTACTATCTAGTGACACTTGCAAAGAAATAACCTACTCAGTAATGGGCAGTTTGCATTCTGCCAGGGCCAATCAACCATTCCTGACCTCACTGTAGCCTTGAATCAATTGTGGACAGAAGAGCTGGACTCTTAGGAGGTGAGCAGAGAGTGATTACACTTGACATTAAAGCAGCGTTTGACTGGGTGTGGCATCAAGAAGTCCCAGCAAAACTGGTAATGATGGGAATGATACAAAATATTCTGCATAAAATATTCCCTCAGGACAAAATAGGTCCCTATACTCAGCAGTGACTGATGTTTCAACATCACTTACTGTTCGTATGGGAAGATCTGGTGCTCAGATAGAAACCCCTCTATAACGAGCCAACGTGTTAAACACAGAAATGAAGTTTTAAAAGAATGTTGTGTTGCTGATCATTTTATTTCAAGGTTTTACAACTTTTTAAAAAAAGTGCAAACTTTTCCCTGTGGCAGCTGCTGACTTGACACAAACAGTAAATGCAACCCGAACAACATAGGACCAAGAGATAGTAGGAACTGCAGATGCTGGAGAATCCAAGACAAGGTGCAGAGCTGGATGAATGTTTCGGTTTTATCTGATGAAGGGTCTAGGCCCGAAACGTCAGCCTTTCTGCTCCTATGATGCTGCTTGGCCTGCTGTATTCATCCAGCTCTGCACCTTGTTGTCATAGGACCAAGAGCTTGGCTTTGATAACTGAAAACAATACATTTCCTGGGGAGTGCTGCCCACACCATTAACTGCAGAATCCACCATGCCTGAGTGAATACATCACTATTTTGGGAAAATTTGTGTCCTTTGGAACTTCAGCCCAATTATCCAAAAGCAGATTGCTGCAGAGAGCTGGAGCAGGGCAGTGGTTACAGACCTTCCACGTGTGCAGACAGTGTGCTGGTAGGCCAGGACTGTTACAGGGATTCCTCAGGATTTCAGCTTGCTGTGCAGTCTCAGTAACTCCCAGTCTGGGCTGTCAGCTTTTAGGAAAGTAAAGGAAACACATTTGTCTTTGAAAGTTCAGTTTTAGTCAACTTAAACTTGAATCCGAATGAAGGCAGGCAGGTGAAGGTTATTTCCCTTCCTTGAGCAAAGAAGCTGACAAGTGTTGAAACAACTTCTCTCACTCCAGGGTCGGGATGACATATTTATGACGCACTGCCCCACGAAGAGGACAGTTGTGATGCCTTCTCTTTTGGAGTCGCATATACTCAGCATCACTGAGTCACAAACTCTGGCTATATCAAATTATCAGCATTTCCCAGCTCCAAACATCATTCCTTGATTACACATCTCAAATATCCTTTATAACTAATAAAGAAATCTGTAATGAATTGCACTATTTTTCCTAAACTGGTTGAAATCGCATCCAAAAAAAAAAAGCACAGTCTGCAGTCATGGACAGGTCTAGGCTTCATCTTCACTGATCAGAAACAGCAACCTCGAATGAATCTTCATCCCACATCCCTCTCCTCCACTCCACAATCACCCCCCACACCCCCAACCCAACCTCACTCACTCCCCCAAGCCCCAAAGTATCTGGTGGTGCTAAGGTCAATTCGTACTTCTCAGTGAGACATCACAGGTTGGGAATCAAGCTGGAAGATCCCTGTCCTGTCTGTCTCAGTTCCACACTTGATACCGCATTTACTCCTGAACTCACTGAGGAGATAGGTTTCATTGTCCTTCGGAGACTGGGCAGGTGACTTTTTAAGGGGAGGCGAATAGGTTTTCGATAGTCAACCTCTTTTTGAGTGTCGGTGTCCAGCTCAGGATCCCCAAAGGGGTCACTGGTTGACTCATTCTGTTCAGGAGTGGACAGCTTTGCTCTGTGACTAACTATAGTGGGAGACGGACAGCGAATCACAGGAACAGCTGGCTCGGCCTGGATGAGGGGCAGTGCACTCAAACTCTGGGCAATATTTCCCATTAGGTCAATCATCTGGTCCAGCTTTCCTGCCAAATGTTCAAACCCCTCCTTTTGAAGATCTAGAAGCTTCTGCTGGAAAGGGTCTGGGAATGGGGTGAGATTCCCACAGGACTCTGAGACAGTTGCTGCAGTGGATGGAGATGCAGAGTGAGGAATGTCAGGATTGCTGTGTTTCTCACTTGCAGCCTCGCTGGCCGAGTTCAACCTGCACTCCTGTGACGGATCTCGATCAAAGTAGCAAGATTCCTTCCCACACTGATCCGGGAGACCTATTGATATATAATTCAACTTTATCAATAAACATCTGCAGCAGTTCATAAAATAGCTGATTAAACAGATACCAACACACACTCTGTTTCAGACTGATCTCATACACAACATTGACTAATCAGACAAATGGTCACTATTGTGGTCTTGATCTAGAAGGAACTAATGTCTATTTGTATTTAACAAAGTTTCAGTTGATGAGCATTTTGGGGATAGTAACCATGATGAACTTTCAAAGTCATTATGGAAAGGGATAAGGATAGTGCAGGAGTCAAGTGTCTAAATTGAAGGATCTGGCAAACGTAGACTGGGAGCAGGTACCTTTTGGAAGGCTGGAGTCTTTTAAAAGTAGTAGAGTGAAAATTCAGGGCCAACGTGTCCCTCTAAGAGTAAAGAGCGAGGACATAAAGTCCAATGAACCCTGGTTGTCAAGGGATAGAGAGTTTGATAAAGAAAAAGAAGGAAGCATATGTTAAGTATGTATTAAGAATAAGAGGATTACCAAAGAAATAATGGGACCTATTAGAAACTAAAGGGGCAATCTACACATGGACCCAGTGGACTTGGGTGAGATCTTAAACGAATACTTGTGTGCATTCACGAAGGAGAAAGACATTGTAGCTGGGGATATTAGTTGTGATGGTGAGGTTCTAGAACACATTGAGGAAATTATCAGATGTTTTAGCAGACACAAGATGCATAAATCCCCAGGACATGACGAGATGAATCTACGGGAGACAAGGGAGGAGATTGCCGGGGCCCTCGGTGATATATTTAATACTTCACTGGCCATAGTTGAAGTACCAGATGACTGGAGGATAGCTAATATGGCTCCTTTGTTCAAAAAGGGTATCAGGGATAGGTTGGGTAATTACCGGTCAGTTAGTTTGACATCAATGGTAAGGAAATTATTGGAAAATTCTGAAGGACAGGATTAATCAACACTTGAAAGGCAGGGATTGATCAGATATAATCAGCATGGATTTGCTAAGAGGGAGATCCTGTCTGACTTTATTAAGATTTTTGAGAAAAATGACTAAAATGTATTGATGAGGGTAGTGCAGTTGGTGTGATTGACATGGACTTAGTAAGGCCTTTTGACAAGGTTCCATACGGATGGTTGGTCCAAAAAAGAGCACATGGGATCCAAGGTAAATTGACAAACTGGGTCCTAAACAGGCTCACAAATAGAAGGCAAGAGGTTATGGAGGAGGGTTATTTTCTAAGTGGAAGCCTGTGACCAGCAATACCACAGGGATCAATGCTGGGAACCCTGCTGTTTTGTTATGTAGGTTAATGACTCGGATGTGAATATACAACATTTAACAATTAAGTTTGCAGATGGTAAAAATTAGTGGTGCTTGATAGAGAGGCTGATGTCTCAGGCTTCAGTCTGAAATTGATCAGCTGGTAAATTGGGCAGAGTAATGACAGCTGGAATTTAATCCTGATAAGTACAAGGCAATGCAATTTGAGGTCAAATTAAGGTATACACAATGAATGGTAAGTCCCGAGCACTGAAGAACACCTTGGTGTCCAAGTCCCTAGATCCCTGCAGGTGTCAGCACAGGTTGACAGGGTGGTGAAAAATGTATACAGGATACTTGCCTTCATTAGCCAGGAAAGAAAACACTGGTTAGGCTACAGATGGAATATTGTGTGGAGTTCTGGTCACCACGCTAATCAGCACCACTGTAGAGGGTGCTGAGGTGATTCAGCAGGATGTTGCCTGGGATGAAAAGTCTCAGTTATGAGGAAAGTCTGGATAGGCCAAGTTTGTTTTCCTTAGAACAGAGGAGGCAGAGGCTCCGGGGAATCTGATTGAGATATACAAAACTGACAGGTTTCGATCATAAGAATCTCTTCCTCATGGCAGACATGTCTAAGACCAGAGGGCATAACTTTAAGGTGAGGAGCAAATGGTTTATAGGAGATATGAAAAAATATGTTTCACCCAGAGGGTGGTATATATAATGAACATGCTGTCTGAGAGGGTGTTGGAGGCAGATACTCTAGCAACATTTAAGCAGCACCTGGATCAGCACTTAAGACACCAGGGCACAGTAGACTGTGGACCAAGTGTATGCAAATATGATCAGTGTAGTTTGGTGTTTGTTGGTCAGTATAGACGTGGTGGACCGAACGGTTTGTTTCTTTGCTGTATGACTCTGATTGGTTCCCTGGCTTCATGTCTGCATGATCCAGGAACTACCCAAGTCACATGTCCCCCCATTCTTGCTCCCCTAGTCACACACCTCATTCGTGGACCCTTGGCTCTCTGCCCCCACATTCCCTGAACCCCAGCTACACGCTCCTCATTCCCAGATCTTCAACCTCCGTGGTGTTCAATCGTGTTGCTTGTTGTTGACCTGAATACTGACACAGGTCACACCAAGTTAGTAATGGGCAGTTGGGAAAGCTTTTCAGCCAATGTCTGCATTCAGAGGATGGAAGTGGACTCCTCCAAATCACCTGTCTTGTGACTCTTCACTCCCCTTCCGCCACAGCCCACAGCGACTCTGATCTTTACCACAGCCTCCCTGTCACCAATGTAATTCCCCTGCTCCCCGATTATCCTGGCAGTCAGGGCACAGCACAGATACTTAGGTAATCACAGACTGTGCCACAGAACATAAACACTGATGGTAGAGCACTGGAAGATTAGTGGGTCCTGCTGGGACCATAACAGACACATGCAAATTCAGACAGCACAGCACAAACAAAATCAGGGTTAGCGTGAATATGGGATTGGGTGGAGATCAGAGAGAGAGGTGAGGGGTCGGATAGGTGCTTACCTTGACTGGAGTTGCTGGTTGCAAGCGTGGCTGGCTCCACACCAGACTATGCAGCGCTGCTAACTCTCATTGTGGCTGACAGGACACATTCACAATCTGTGTCACTAAAATAAGCTCAGCACGAAAGCACATTTTCTACAATAAGCAGCAAGAGCAATTAGCAGAACTGATGAGAGAGCAGAGATCACTGAGTAACTAACAATATATGGAATCCCCACAGCATCACCGGGTACCTACTAAAACTCAGTACTGAGGGCTTAGAGAGTCACTTCCCCAGTCCACTTGCCTCTTTCTGAAGCTCTCTCATCCATTTCCATAAGCGAAAACTTTACTGAGAATGCCAATCTATATACTGGAGTCTGGTTGGTCATGACTGCTCACATATGGTCTTCCTTAAAAAAAAGTGTCTCCGTGTCACTCTACATTATATCACAATCTCAGAGCTACACACCTCACAGTTGAACATAGAACAGTAAAGCATAGGAATGGGCCCTTGGCCCACAATGTTGTGCCGAACATTATGCTAAATTAAACTAATCCCTTCTGCCCTTGTTCTATATCCCTCCATTCCTTGCATATTCATGTGTTTATTTAAAAGTATCGTAACACGCTCCACTGCCATCCCTGGCAGCGCATTCTTGACTCCTACCACTCAAAAAAAACCTTGCCCCTCACATCACCTCTGAACTTCCTACCCTCTCTTTAAATGCATGCCCCCTAGTTTTAGATATTTCATCTCTGAGAAAAAGATTCTGACCATCAACCCTATCTATGCATCTCAATTTTATAGACTTCTATCAAGTCTCCTCTCTGCCTACACTGCTCCAGAGAAAACAACCTGAGTTTTCGTTATTGTTCAAACTCTCTACTCCAGGCAAATCCTGGAAAACTTCTTCTGCACCCTCTCCAAAGCCTCCACATCCTTCCTGCAACATGGCAGCCAAAGTGAACAATACTCTAGGTGTGGCCTACCCAAAGTCTTATATAAAGCTGCAACATGACATCCTGACTCTTGTACTCAATTCCCTGACCAGTAAAGGCAAGTATGCCTTACTCTTTCTTTACCACGCTATCTACTTGCGGGAATAGAGGGAGCTATGGACTTGAAAACCAAGATCCATCTGTACATTAATGCTGTTCAGGGTCCTGCCATTAACTGTATACTTTTCCTCAAAATTAGATCTCCCAAGTGCAGCACCTCACATTTACCCAGATTAAACTCCATTAGTCATTTCTCCACCCATATCTGCAACTGATCTATATCCTGCTGTATCCTTTGACAACCTTCTACACCATCCACAACTCCAGTGATCTATGTATCATCTGCAAACTTATTAACCCCACCATCTACATTTTCATCCAGGTCATTTATATGTTTCATAAACAGATGTCCCAGTATGATTCACTAGTCATGGACCTCCAGCCTGAAAGAACAACCTTCCACCTGGTGCCTTCTATGGGCAGACCAATTCTGAATCCAAGTGGCCAAGTCACTGTGGATTCCATGCATCTTAATCTTCTGGATGAGCCTACCAGGAGGGATCTTGTCGAAAGCCTTACTAAAATTCACATAGACAACATCCACTGCTCCACCCTCATCGATCACCTTCGCCACCTCCTCAAAAAATTCAATTGAGTTTATAAGACATGACCTGCACAGTGCTGACTGTCCCTAATTAGACCGTGCTTTTCCAAATGTGGAAAAATCATATCCCCAAAAATTGTCTCCACTAGCTTCCCAACAGACTAAAGACTCATTAGTCTATAGTTTCCTGGATTATCCTTATTTCCCTTCTTGGGGTTGGGGTTTAATCTCCAGCACCAAGCCTCCTTAGAGTAGCACATGCTCATTAACCGACAGTTATGCCTAGTAACAATTTTTATTCCTGCTTTCTCTCTATGGAACGTAAAGTTTACCTTCTTGCATATCTATATACTTAAATAGTGCTGCACGGCCCTGGGAGTGTAGAATGGTAAAGTGTGGAGGTAGCTTCACTTTCAATTGAGGAGAGTAGAGGGAACTGTACTCTGTACCTAACCTTAAGTCCCAATTCAGTAAAAGGTCTTAAATAATAACAGTACAATAGATAATAAAAAAAACAGTTTGATGAGCACTTTTACTGATAGCAATACAGCATTTTATAAATCGCATTGTATATCACGAAAAGTGAGATGTGCAGATAATGTGGAGAAACCAGTGTCACAGAGAGGGTGATGGATGTGCCTGGATTTGTGCACCTAGACAGATGGTTGAGACTGAGACAAGGGTAAAATCTGCTGTTGAATTTGTGTAAAAATGAGAGAGATAGAAACCCTACCCTCCTGCACTCAACATTCCAGCATTGACAGTCAGATTATCTTTCACGATTGCTCTCAATAATTATTGAAATCTCAGCTTTGAGACCCACGAGCAAGTCACTGCTTAGGAGATCCACTCCAATACCACAGTAGAGATCCGAGTATTTCAATAGAGATCCACTAGATTGTCAGTACTGAGATCAAGCTAGGACATGGAGAACGAATTCAGTAAAATTGTTTACTTTGAACATGAATTTTAATTTAATTTTTGGAGCAACTCCACAACCTCAAACTAACCACAATCAGTATGACCACCTAAGCTCTCTCTTTTTCCCTTTTCCTATATCTGAATAATAACAGGCTCAGTGGTTAGCACTGCTGCCTCAGCGCCAGGGACCCGGGCTCAATTCCACCCTCAGGCGACTGTCTGTGTGGAGTTTGCACACTCTCCCCATGTTCTGCGGTTTCCTTCGGGTGCTCCAGTTCCCTCCCACAGTCCAAAGATGTGCAGGCTAGGTGGATTGGCCATGCCAAATTGCCTGTAGCGTTCAGGGATGTGTAGATTAGGTTGGTTATAGGTGGAGGGGTCTGGGTGGGATGTTCCAAGGGTCAGTGTGGACTTGTTGGGCCAAAGGGCCTGTTTCCATACTCTGGGGATTTTATGATTCAGTTGCTTAGGGCAAACAGTTACATTTTCACATGAATACAATAGGAGATCAACACGAGACCCAAATAAGTCAGTGTGTACGGAGTTTGCACTGGGGTTGAATAAGGACAGGGCTCTGCTCAGTTGAGTTGGACTTACCCCATCTCCAGCGATGCAGTTTCTCACCAACAACATACAAAGAGACAGTTACAAGGACAGCTGCTGTCAGGAAGATACACAGGCCAATGGGACTGAGCACCTCCAGAATGGGGTAGACCCAAATAGATGACCTGTGCTGAATCCAAAGTACCCTGAGGAAAAAAAAAACGATAGCGAAACTTATGCATTTTTTGTACTCATTAGGTGGTATCACATGGAAGGTGCAATAAGAATACACACAACCCCTCCCAAAGGAGGAAGGGAGATGGTATGTCAGATGAGGTCAGGTGGGGGGAACCACAAGAGGGAAGGGAGGTGGGGCAACGCAAGACAGGGGAAATAAGAGAGATGGAGGTCACAGGTTCGTGCGTGCTGAGATTCAGTCAGACAGCTGGGGGAAAAGAAAGACTGGATCAACACCTACAGGGTATGGAGCTTTGTCCAAAGGAATGTGTTTGAAGTTGGTGCCTGTTAGTGCATAATCCCAATTCCTGGAAATCTGAAAGGAACTCACCAGAGCAAATAGGAACTGCAGAAGGTGACAAGAACAGCCAGGCATCCCTTGTGATTGGGCCAGCGATGTTGCACCACAAACAGCTCCAACATGAGCAGCACCAAGACTACTGTGTGCTGCAAAGAACAGAAATACACAGTGTGAGCAGTTCAAACTTGAGGGTGGGGGATTGGGTGCAGAGTATGGGTGTGTCACAGGTAGTCGGGGTGGGGGAGGCAAGGCAAATCACAGATTGGTCAGGAGCACAAAGTGCAAGGGCATCCAGTCTGACTGCAAGAAGCCAGAATATGGGAAAGCAGACTGATTTCACCTGGCAGTATCAAGCTGAGGGTTTCGGACACACTCTCACTCACCATTGCATGATTCAGCCAGGTTGGGATGATTTTGTCGAGTTGCTCTGGGTAAACAAGTTCCCGGTCATAGGCATAAAGAATCCAGAAACTCATAACGACAAACTGACAGAAAAAGAAAAAAGATCAGTCAGCAATCCAATGCAATCCATTTGAATTAGTCGGTGCTGGGGATCCACGCACATCCCAGTACCAGTGATACATATCTTGGTGTCAATGAATGCTGTACTTACAAAGCCAATGGGAAAGGCTAGAGCTGAGAACAGCCAGTCCTGGAGAGCACTCATCCTCAATGACAATCGCTGCATACGTTTATCAGACTGAGAAAGGCGCCACACTAGGTCTGTGAGGACACACACTCCAAAAAATGTAGTCTGCAGGACCTAGAGAGGGAATAAGATCAATAACACCATCTTTCTATATGGATCCAACAATAACCTGACTGGGGAGAACTGGACAGTGCTGAAGCAACAAGCCCAGTAGACAAAGTGTGCAAAACAGAGCGAGAGCAATTTTGGTACAACATGACAACCAGAGAGACAACTGATTACAGGTGCTGGGGTGAGGAGAAAAGGAGCCTGGGAATATCCATTCCGATTGGAGCCAAGTGAACAAACCTGTTACCACTAATTTATTGCGGATTCAATGACAGGCTATTGTAGTGTTATGAACATTGCATGAAATGAAAACATTTGCAATTATATAACTCCACCAATTACCTCAAAATATCCAAAGCACACCAGCCAGAGATATTTTGGAAACAATCATTGTAAGAGTCATTTACAGCATGAGGGCCGTTCAGCCCATTAAGTCCGTGTCAATTTGCTGCAAAGCAATCCAGTTAGTCCCATTCCCCTGCTTGATTCCCAGAGTCCTGCAAGACTATTTGCTTTAAAATCGCCTCCAATTTCCTTTTGAAATCATTGATCATCTCCACTTTCCACTAATCTCATGAAAGCAGCAGGTTCCATTTTATTATCACAATGTTTAAAAAACAATCTTCCTCATCACCTGTGCAACTCTTACCCAAAACCTTAAATGTCATCTTTGTACTATCAGCTAATGGGAGGAGTTTTTCCTTTTTCTACTTTTCTTATATATACTTAGCATAACCATATACAGCTTTATCAAATTACTCATTGATCAGGAGAGCAACCCCAGCCTTTCCAACATCACCCTGCAACGAAATCGATAATCACAGAAACAATTTCTGCACTCTCTTAAGGTTACAATGTAGGAAACAATCACGGAATAGTAACAGCACTGTAAAATTATTAGGTTAATTTTAAGAATATTAGTTGCCAAAATAATTAAAGCAATCTACATGTTAAATCCTTAACACGTGGTTTTATTAAAAAACCTTGTTAAATAGCAAAGCTGGAAATCTTTGAAGTAGGGCACAATATAGAAAGATGCCAAAGTAGATGGATTTTGGGAGCTTGTGACAAGTTGTGAAAAAGCAAAGACTTCAAGCTTGTCTGAGAAACTGGCTGCATGCAAGAAACCACAGAATTGGAATGACTCCGCCCTCCAGGAGATAACATTTCAACACCAAGACAATAGACAGAGCGGGTTGTGAAAATCACTGTGCAATGTGTGACAAAATTACTTTCTTTTTACGCACTTTTTTAATCATTACTCATTCATAGCATGTGGGCACTGTTAGCTAGGCTGGAAACAATTGCCCAGAGGATCATTAACAGTCAATCATTTTGCTGTGGATCTGGATTCACATGTAGATCAGACCTAACAAGGACAGCAGACCTAACAAGGACAGACATCCTTCCCTAAAGGACATTAGTGAACCAAATCAGTTTTTATAACAATCAATAGTGGTGACATGGTTGCCACTGGATTAGCTTTTTAGTTCAGACTTCCATTACATTCAAATTTTACCATCTGTCATTGCGTAATTTGAACCCATGTTTTTAAAACTTGATTCAGAGATAGTAGGAACTGCAGATGCTGGAGAATCTGAGATAACAAGGTGGAGAGCTGGATGAACACAGCAGGCCAAGCAGCATCAGAGGAGCAGGAAGGCTGACGTTTCGGGCCTAGACACTCCTTCAGAAATGGGGGAGGGGGAGGGGAGATTTTGAAGCTTGTGAAGTCCACATCGATACCATTGGGCTGCAGGGTTCCCAAGCGGAATAGGAGTTGCTGTTCCTGCAACCTTCGGGTGGCATCGTTGTGGCACTGCAGGAGGCCCAGGATGGACATGTCGTCTGAGGAATGGGAGGGGGAGTTGAAATGGTTCGCGACCGGGAGGTGCAGTTGTTTAGTGCGAACCGAGCGTAGGTGTTCTGCAAAAAGAAAATCAACCTGCCCTGCTTCCTGAACAAAGTAAACTGCGTCGTTTACATTCCTATTTGTAGCCTGGAGAGAGAACAGCATATTTACTGTTATGTAACAAGATACCTGTAAATGCTAGATATCCTGAGGATACCTCACTGGAACTCACTGGAAATTCTCACCTCACCAAAGGAATAATTCACAACTGGGAACTAATGATTTTATTTTGAATCTCAAAGCAAGTAATCTGTTAAAGAGATAACAATGTATAGAGCTGGATGAACACAGCAAGCCAAGCAGCAGAGGAGCAGGAAGG